TGAATATTCTATTTGTAGTTACCCCAAATATATCATATCAGGTACTCTGCAAGCAATTTTGGACATAATCGACTCTGTCGATTGATATTCAAATATATATGGATGAATATACAGAGATACACATACAATCTACCAATACCTCACACCCGCAGTTGCGAAGCGCATACCTCGTCGTCCAGCGAAGATAAGCACACCCCGGGATTCAAGTGCCTGGCCGACGGTGTAAAGATCACAATCGTGCTTTTCCAGGAAGGGTGCGAACTCCAACCAAAGCATATTTGTCTCAATCTCCCCTCCGACTGCAATGCAATGGTACGCGGGATATAATTATGTATCAGTATGAATTTATAGTTGAAAAATCATTGACCGACATAATACAAGATACTATGATTTTTGACAACAACTATGAAGTCACGAAAACAGAATCTATCGACTTTGTGTCCAGATCATTCAAGTTTCAGGGTACATCCATCACCATACACATACTTTATTCAATGACCAACTTTGTGCGCATATCATTTATTTTTTAGCGTACGTCTATTGCGCAACACACATACACTGTTCGTTGACCAAAATTCCGTGATCTCTTAAACCTTCGCCTAGCGCCTTCGTCCGGTCGAATACCGCCTGGTGAATTCAGATGTAGTGTGACAATGTCAGTATCAATACAATCTTCGTATATACAATGCAGTATAACACATCTTCTGGATTCGGTATAGGAATCAGCCTACAGTGGTCGATTAGAAACAACCCGCATCGTCACTCAAAGCGGATATCAGGATATCGTGTTGGACACCTCTCATCGATGTTGTGCACTGAGTATGAAGTAACGACGGCTGAAGTATCTAGCCTCCCAAACATATTCTATTCCAGGAACCAAGCACATACATGGCACTCAGTCATACAGAACCGAGAAACTGATACTAACATACACCTGTGCTGCTAATAACGGCTTGATAAGTTTCTGCTAAAGCTCACGGAAGGCGACGTCGAAAGTCAACCCCACAGACTGACAACGTTTCACGGCATAGCTGATAAAATAATCTCACGAGCGCTTACAAACAACCACCTGAACGTAATCCACAATTCGTCAAATCACGTCTACGCGGTAAGACCTTCCCCCTCGTCCCAAACAGACAGAGAAGACCCATAGTTTACGGTCGAAGAGTGTGGGTGTACATGTGCAACTATGCATACATGTACAATCATTCATGCATATATACATACACAGAGCCATACACTATATACATGCATACCAATACACAGATACGCCCGCTCGCAGATACAAACAACAAATTACACCTACCTGCATAGTAGAACCCCAGTTGTGATCAATTGCGTACATAGCGCCCGCAGCTAGCAGCCCAGCCTGTCTCCAGCCCCCTCCGAACATCTTGCGGAACTTCCTGGCTTTGGTTATAAACGCATGGTCACCCACGAGCAAGGAACCGATGGGTGCACCAAGTGTCTTGGACAGGCACAGCGATACGCTCTCCACATTCTTGCAGTATTCTTCAATAGACACGCCTGTGAGTGTGATAGTGTGCACGCATCACCGGATTAGACAAAGGTAAACGTGGAACTCGAATGCAGTTCACTCGAAGTCACTATGTAGATTCTGTCACAACTGTATGGCTGTCTATGAGCAAGAAACCGATAAATTCGCCAACTGTTTTGGACAGGCACTGAGAAAAAGCTCTACGTTTTGGCACTATACTTCAATAGACACGCCTGTGAGTCGAACAATGTGCACACATCGATGCAGTAGAACAGCGTATTCAATATTAGATAATGCTACAGTATATCATGATTTAAATTGTGACTTTGTTTACCAGGCACGAACAAGGCACGAACAGGTTCACGGAATGTTTTGGATAAGCACAATAATCTTCAATAGACCTTGTGGCTCAGAAAATGCATACCGGTCAATGGAATAGACTCACACGTATATATATATATATATACGTATATATATATATATATTAAACCCACACATCAAATCATGCCTACCTACCACTCGCAACACTTGCATTCCACAAACGAGCTCCGTCGAGGTGCACTTTGACCCCCTTTTCATCCGCCATTTTTTTGATATCGACCATGTACTGCAAAGGCATTACACTGCCGTGCAAGGTATTCTCCAGCGATACCAACGTTGTTGTGGGACAGTGTATATCCTCCGCGAATATGGCTGCTTCCACCACATCCGCAGTCAAATGCCGCTCACCCGCCTTTGGCTGCGTGGGTAAAGCCTGCGCCTGAGAATGATAGGACAGACCACCGCCTGAGATGGTCGAAAACGCGAAGGTAATCGTATTAATGTACAGAATCATCCACCCATATAGTTCTCTATGGATAAACGCATGCACTCATGTATGTAGATGTGCAAGTACATCTATTCCAAGTTCAACATGTCTGCGGACAAGTGTATATACTTATATTCCCACAATCGTTTTCACCACATCCCAGTCAAATGCGTCTGTCCCACCTATAGTCGGATGAGTAAACCCTCGTTCTGGATATTATTTGCTAGACCGCCGCGTTCTTATGTTCAAAGTCGCGGTGTGCTTTCAAAAGCTAACGGGTAGGATGGTTGTATACATATGCCAACCAGCATGTGTAACATGCAAAGCGTTTACCAGAAATAGAAGACGTCGATCAGTGGCAATGAATCTCACCCATAGCAAAGCCACTTACCCGCTGTCCGTCTTGTGCATGTGGCATGTGACCGATAATGTATGCTAGACCGCTACCTAAAGTCATTGTGGTCGTGATGAGATATGCAAATACAAACTAGGACATACCTACATGGTTATAT